ATTCTATTCTATTCTATTCTATTCTATTCTATTCTATTCTATTCTATGCTATTCTATCCTATCCTATCCTATCCTATCCTTGAGTCAGCACTTCTGGTAGGAATTGTGTTGTGAGGGTGGAAGTTTGGGTTGGTTTCCAATTTTTTCATTACCAGGCTAGGTAACATGTTCATCAGAATTTAGGAAATGTCAGTGTTGGTGTTCTTCTGCTTATAAGGGTTTCAGTAGATCTTGTGATGGGAGGGTCACAACAGGTGAGGGTCTTGTGTTGGGTCTGTGATGGGGAGAAGGTCACATCAGATGAGGGTCATTGGGAGGTCAAATGCTGGTTCAGGGCAGTTTGCATGGATTGGTTGAAAATTGGTGCTGCTGCTGATTGGTTGTGTAGCTGATTTGAATTCTTAGGGGTTTGTAGGCTGGTTGTAGGTTGATGTGTCTATTGATGGAATTGCTTGTAGGATGCTTGGCTTTGATAAACTCACATGAGGGGCAGGTGGTGGTGTAGCCAATGATTCTTATATTGCTCCAATCAAATTGGTGCTGTTCAGTGTCAGTGTGGGTCGAGATTAGGGATTTGGAATCATGCCGATTGACTGCCAGCTGGTATTCATGGTTTTCAATTGACATGATGTTTGTCCCACACAGAATTGGTTGCAATTGTTACTCAGTTGATTTTGTAAATTACATTGCGTACAGACATCTTGTCTTTAGTTCTGGATAATTCCTAGTGAAGTGTGGCTGTGAGTTTGTGGGCTATTGTGCTTTATCACTGTCAGCTTTTACCCTGCATCTATTTTTCTTCTTTTTTATTGCCAGTGTGGTCCCGATTATGCAAATTCATTTCAGCTTCACTACCCTATCTCTTCAGCATATCATCAGCCAGCAGAAGCAATTGCCAATCATTGTATCGCAGGGGAAATGGGGCAGCTTTGCTTCAGGGCTCTGTCAGGCATCTCAAGGATCACTTTTAAGCTTCTCTTCTCAGACCCTATTATGTCATAACCCATGTTGAATAAAGTGCTGAGTCATAAACAGCATTTTTTTTACTTAGGATTTCTCACAATTCTTTCCTTTCTTTGTATCAGCAACAAATTTTAATGTACTTCACATTCTTTTCAGGAGGCAATGCAGGGAGAGGAGATGGTGGGAAGCCTTGGGCTAAGCTACACAAATGCCACTAAATGTCATTAAAGCGCTAAAAATACTGAGCTTTCATCCAGCATGTTTGCACAATTTTGGTAGCCCACTTTTTAATTTGTTTTGGTTGACAATTGAAATATCCACTTATTACACTGGGTTATATAGGCATGCTCTCTGTGTGTGCCTGCAGTTGCATCAGGGCTGCCAGAGAACTGCACAGGGAACCCTGATGCTAAACTCAGCTATTTTGCTCTTTCACACTCCGGAGGATAGACACATAGGATAGAAACATAGGCTGGTGTCCAGCCTTTTAGGTACAAAACAACAAAATTGTATCAGATAGATCAGAGATTGGAGGGAAGGGGCTTCTCTATATTAATGAAATGGCCAAGAATGTTGCCCTACTAATCATCTGAAGTCACCTCCAATATAATATGTGGTGAGGAATCCCAATTCAGCAGGTGCCAGCCTGACTTTGCCAATATTATCTTTACAATTATTCTCCCTATAGTTTTAGGCAACCACCATTCACAAGTTATAATCCACCTTCAGTATTTATTGCAGGATTTTATTCCAATTTCCCCTCTGATAGATGCATTGAATAAGTTTATCTGCAGTTCTTGGCTGTGAAAGAAAAAAGAAAATAATTCCATTGATTTTTAATAAGCTTTTAAAAACTCAATTGAAAATCATGACTTCAGATCCCTGACCTATTTTTTCCCCTCCATTCTTATATTCTAGGAGCAGGGAAAGTGTAGCGTTACAATATTTCTTCAGCCACTCTGAACTGCAACTATTTCTCAGCCCCATGAAAATGGTTGCATAGAAGAATACATTTTTAAGTTTTTGGCTAATTGGGCTGGTAGTGATAACTTCTGTAATTTTACAACATATTATGGCAACTCTTACCAGCTGACACATCATGCTAAGCACCACTTCTCAATTGTATGTACCCCATACATGATATATCACTATTAACATTAGCGATACATCTGGCTGGCCTCAGAGCTCATGGTCCACCAATCTACTGGAAGGCCCATTTTTTGCTCTCCCCGAGCCTCCGCGTGCACCCTGCATCCAAAATGGGCTGCGTGGGGACTCCTGGGAGGGGAGGGGCAGGGTGGGCAGGGCCAGCCAGGAGTGAGATTTGGAGGTTCTCCGAACTGCACAGAATCTTAGCTAGGGGCTGTCCTGAACCCATATAAAACCCAGCAGTCCAAACCTTGTTTGGGTTATTTCTGCTCCCCTGCCTAGTTAATTCATTAACTAGAATTAATGGTTAGCAAAACCTTTATTTAAACCAGAATTAATCCTATTCCATTTTCACTCCCTTCCCTTTTTTTTAATTAACTCACTCAAAGCCTACAACCCAAATTGTTAACCATATTTCTTTTGGAATATATCTTCTTTTCTTGTTCAGGTAAGGAAGTAGAAACCATTAAGAAGGTTCAGCGGCTACAGCCAGAGATTGAAAGCTCTGTGCCTTAAACACATCCATAATTGTAATTTAGGTACCACATAAGCCCAATCATAAGCATCCAGTCACTACACTATAAAAAAGATGTTGATCATTTCATGTAAGCCAGGTCTTTAGAAATTGAGTTGTATTTCTTTATTACTATGAATTATGTTCCATAATTAGAATATAAAGGGGATGCCAGTTATTTATTTATTTTTGTATAGGTATGATCTGTGATATAACTCACGAATTATGTGGATATATTATGTGGTAAAGGAAGAATAATGTTACCCTGTTAGCATGGAAGCTATGGACTATATTTTGTATCACAGCCAATATGTGTGACTGATAAAAATGCTAGGTTAGTATCAACAGAACAATATATGATTTAAGATTACAATTTATATAATAAGATTGGGCATACTAGTGACTCCACATTTTATCAGCCAAAATGTTTGATGGTCATTATTATTTTGTCTATGATGAGAATGTGACTGAAAAGAAGTAAACATATACACACAACCCATATACTTATATACAAAACTTCCACAGGGGTATAGCAGTCTCATAACATTCAGCTATCCAGTTGATTACAGATTAACAGAGTTGGAAGGGATCTTGTAAATCATCTAGTCCAACCCCCTACCCAGGAGACCTTATACCATTTCTGACAAACGGCTGTCCAATTTCTTCTTGAAAGTCTCCAGTGACCAAGTTCCCACAACTTCTGAAGGCAAGCTGTTCCATTGGTTGATTGTTCTCACTGTCAGAAAGTTTCTCCTTATTTCCAGGTTAAATCTCTCCTTGATCAGTTTGCATCCATTATTCCTTGTCTGGCCTTCAGGTGCATTGGAAAATAGTTTGACCCCTTCCTCTCTGTGGCAGCCTTTCAAATATTGGAACACTGCTATCATATCTCCCCTGGTCTTTCTCTTCACTAGACTAGCCATGCCCAGTTCCTGTAACCATTCTTCATATGTTTTAGCCTCCAGTCTCCTAATCATCCTGGTTGCTCTTCTTTGTACTTTTTCTAGAGTCTCAACATCTTTTTTATAGTGTAGTGACTGGATGCAGTATTCTAGGTGTGGTCTTACTAAGGCTTTATAGAATGGTATTAGTACCTCACTTGATGTTGATTGTATCCCTCTGTTAATGAAACTTAGGATTGTGTTGGCTTTTTTGGCTGCCACCACACACTGCTGGCTTATATATAACTGGTTGTCCACTTAGACTCCAATGTCAATCTTTGACATTGCTTTGTGCAGATCTTCTCGAGAACCAGAGAATGCATATTGTGAGCAATCTTGCATAATATGTTTAATTGATTGCAAATTAGTAGCACAATCGCAACATAGGAAATCTTTCCATCTCCACTGATACAGGGCAGAGGCATTTCTTCCGGTATCACACCTGATTCTGTTCAAAGGCAAGTGGCTTGATAGAAGGTTAAGCCACAAGAAGCTACCTTGGATTTCTCCTGGCATTTTCGGGATTAAATTTGGATAGATGTTAAGGGAATAGCTGTTTTCCACATTGCCTACAAAATTTTAATCTTGTGATGGGCTGTGCACTGTCCTGGTGAATTAGGGAGGCCTTGTTGTTCAGCATCCTTGACCGAGGTGGGCTTCAAAAATTTTAGCAAGGGGTTCTCTGCCTGGTTGCTGAATGGGCATGGCCATAGTGAGTGTGGCCTAATCGGCTTCCTGCACCATGGTGGGGGGGGTCATTTTTGCCCTCCCCAGGCTCCGGAGGCTTTCCTCGAGACTCCAGGAGGCCAAAAATAGCCTCCCTGGGCTCCAGAGCCTCTCTGGAAGCTGGAAATGGGCCCGTTTCTGGCTTTTCCAAACTTCTGGGAGGCCCATTTTTTGCCATCCTTGAGCCTCCGCACGTGCCCTGCACGTACCCATATCCAAAATGGGCTGCGTGGGGACTCCTGGGAGGGTTGGGGCAGGGTGGGCAGGGGCAGGCACAATTTGGGGGTTCTCTGAACTGTGCAGAATCTTAGCTAGGGGTTTTCCCAAACCCCCACGAACCCCGAGCAGCCCACCCCTGTCCTTGACCATAGACAAATGAGAGTTTTGTTTGATGGTGTGGATAAATCAATTATCAGTTTTTGTTTTTCAAAGTACCAAAGGTAGTTTGGTTTTTATGGTTGATACACAAAGATGATTTTTCAGATCTCAGGTCTTGAATGAGCCAAATAAACATGAATACTGTATTTGATTTAATTTAATATTTTTGTTTAATTATTTATTACTGTAGATACGTTGTAGACCTATTACATACTTGTAGGATTAATGTGATGGTTTCTTTTGTTCTGCATCATTCTCCTGACAGGTTTTTGAAGGAGAACAACACTATTTTCATTTTACTGAAGAAATGAGAGGAAACAAGTATCCACAGTCAGCCAGTTTTCAAACAGAATCAGTTTCCCACAAACCAACTTTATTTTTTAATTAACCAGGACTTCAGCCGTAATACCTATTGCTTTCAACACGAGTAATAAATTCAGATAATAATCAAAGAGATTATGAGATAATAATCTCTTTACAATATTGCAGTAGACTTTTCCTCTAATTATTAAGTGAAGGAATTAAGACAATTACTTTATTAATTGATGTTTAAAGTAGACCAGAATGTTTCTATACCAGAAAGTCAGGATTTTTCATGCTTAAAAATAGACTTTCACTAAAGTTTGTAGTTTTCCCACCCATCAGAGAATGAAAAATCTGAGCTGTGATTCCTCATGCCAGGGATCCCTTTGTTGTTGATTCAATTCAAGCCACTATATTCCATTCAAAGTATTATTCATCGGTTGAATTAGTCTAGTGGAAACCTGATTATATCTAAATTGTAGGCTCTGTTGAATTGAAGATATTTATCAGCATTTCTCCACAGTCAGAGAATGTGGCTACTTCATTATTTTCTTTCTCTTCCCTCTGGTTTCTTTGTCTCTTTTTGGTGCCCAGGGAAAATGAAAGAATTAATGGCAAAGGCAAGGCTGGTGGTCAGATATATAAAAGGCAAAAGATATTTTGCCTCTTTTAACAGTTGTGCAAAAAGAAAAATTCAGAGCTATTTTTTTTTTATACAAACTTTCAGATAGAGAATTTGTCTTTTCTTTAACTATTAAAAATATAGGAATTCTTTTTCATATCTGGTAGCATTGGGGGAAGTACAAATTCACTAGAAGGACAATCATTTTCTCACTTATCCACATGAGTTTTGAATTGATTCCACCTAAATATAACATATTAACCAAGGCAGAAAAGTGGACAGGAGACAATGCTAAGCCTGACTAATACCAGTATTTTAAATTAAATATTACTATGATCTGGTTGGTGGATTGCATTTAGTCATGGCTTGATTAATCATGATTTATTTATATATATATATATTTTAAAAAATCCTGCTGTCAGGATTTCGGCAGTTACCCCAATTAAATCATGAGTCTCAAGCCAAAATTCCAGAACTTCAAAGGATTTATTGGGAGTTAACATGTCTGGCACTGCCTGGATGTAGCTGACTCTGAGACACATCACATATTGTCACCTTTGACTTTTTCCCCACTTCCTGGGTGTATCATAATTCATATTCTCCAATGAGACACATCCATAACCAAGAGTCATCAATCATGTTCTCCAGTTAGATTTTTGCGCTGCAGAAACTTCAGTCACCTTGTTACTAACTCTGAAAAACTATGTATGGAATGCACTTTCAATTTCCAAGCTGCCGCACTGCTCTTTCAAACCTCTTTCCCCCCTCCCTTTCTGTTGGCAACTCTAAAAAGGCCATAGAAATATTTTATGAGTTGACAGCTGTAATATGTTGGGTTGTAGTTAAGATATAAATTGTTTTGCAAGATGTAATGGCTAGGTTCACACCTCACACTAAGTTAAGGTGAAACATATACATATATGGTTTAGTGTGATCTATGAATTTAGCTGCTTTACCCTATTCTATACACTGGATTTTTGTACGCAAATCCTAATATTAGAGTAAGGCTTTCATGTTTATGCTACTAAGCTAGCCATGTTATGAAATGGCTATTGAAGGCAGCCAGAATGTCATTTTGAATATGGGGGGAGGGGGGGAGTTATCAAGGTTTATGTTGTAACTCAGTTTAAGTAGAAAATCATTAGTCATAGTGTTGTAGAATTGCACGCTTTCCAACCTTGCCATTTCCAACCTTAAATCTCCCTATTTTATTTAAAATTCTTTGCTGTGATAAAAGAGGGTATTGCCATCATCTTTCAATGTACTTCATTGTAACTCTCATTACACCCAAGTTTCAGTAATCAGATGAAGTTTTATTGAGAATCAATGTCTAGATATACAGGTATAAGTAAAGGTAAAGGTTCCCCTTGCACATACGTGTTAGTTGTTTCTGGCACTAGGGGGCAGTGCTCATCTCTGTTACAAAGCCGAAGAGCCAGTGCTGTCCGAAGATGTCTCCGTGGTCATGGGGCCAGCATGACTAAATGCCGAAGGCACACGGAACACTGTTACCTTCCCACCAAAGTGGTCCCTATTTTTCTACTTGCATTTTTACATGCTTTTGAACTGCTAGGTTGGCAGAAGCTGAGACAAGTAACTCCGTTATGTGGCACTAGGGATTTGAACTGCCGAACTGCTGACTTTTCTGATTGACAAGCTCAGTGTCTTAGTCACTGAGCCACTGCATCCTTTACATACATGTTTATATACATACAGGTATAAAAACATTCTTAAAGAGTGACATGTACTAGGACTGCTTATTTATTTTGTATATGATCTTCTTTTGCATACAGTGGGCAGCAGATACAGTACCTTGAAGCAGCGTCATGAAGCAGTCATATCCCACGTTTGCACTATGATGATTGCTAGAACAACCATAAAACTGAAATTAATTATCTGAATCTAGCCAGCACTAATGCAAAGCAAATTCCTGGATTTTCATTCTCCAGATATGACTGGTAATGTTATTAAGGCCTCTGTTAACCAGTGGGTCTTCATTCATTCCAGTATATCGGCAGACATGCTAAAAGGCAACAAACAGTTTGCAAAGACTTAGTAAAGCCAACATTTCAAATTTGATATTTCTTAGATTATAATAGAAAGTAAGGCATATGCAGTGAAGATATTCTTCATTGGCATTGGTTTTGAAATATATGTAGGATAGGAAAGAGATAATGTAAAACAGACTGTATCATGTATGCCTCATTTTTTATACCAGCATCTTTTAAATATCATCATCATCATCATCATCATCATCATCATCATCAAGCGAGATTCAACCAGCTCAGTATCTATTTCCCAGAACGTTCAAGTAGAAGCTTCTTGTGAAGTCCAGAAGGACAAGAGTCCAGATTACAGATTACAAATAATCAGAGTTGGAAGGGTCCTTGTAGTTTATCTAGTCCAAACCCTCATCCAAGCGGGAGACCCTACATCATTTCTGACAAATGGCAGTCCAATCTCTTCTTGATGATGCTTCTACAACTTCCGAGGGCAAGCTGTTCCGTTGGTTGATTGTTCTCACTGTCCAGTAAACCAAAGTCCCCAAAGAAGCAATGCTGCACTATCCCTTGCTGCTTTTTGGCAATTTGCTTTCATAAATGTAGTGTCTCTGATCCCACATGTAGATACGATTGTGCTGAGTAACATCCCATTTATTCATCTCCTTTCATGAATTCACTTTTAAGTCACAGTGAAGAACTCCATATTTTAATTCATTTCATGAGTATATACTTCCATTGTTTTTGTCGTGAATCTCCCAACGTTTGTTTTCACCGAATGATTCTTGTATCTCAGATTAGGTGTGTGACAACAAAGTCTCTCTTTGTACATTTCTTCCCCCCACCCCAAAGAAACTATTGAAGGCCTGTACTGTATCACATCACATCCACCCCCATTATTATTTCTCCCCATTTTCATCTAAAAAAGAAAATGTGGAGAAAGTAGCCTTCTCTCCATCTTTTCTGACTTTGCAATATTCTTTTTGAGATACAGTTTATATGTTACAGATTTGTACAGAGGCATTTGTGTAAAGGCTATCAGCACCTCTTATGCCTGTTGTGGTTAATGTGACATTTTGCCTTTCCTTTCTGAATACATTTTTCTTTTGTCTTGAAGAAGGATGTGACCCCGAGGCAGCTTGGCTGTTTATCTTTTAAGGGCCCCTGAAATGTCATTTTGATACAGCTTCAGTTTCCCAGGTGCTTGCCTTCTCACCCAAGTGCAAACTCTTCAGCTTTTCACTTTTATGCCAGCAGTTTGAGAGTTTATCTGTCACTGCAGGTGACATGTGGGAATTAACTGGACAAAGAAGGTCCAGAATAGGTAAAAGAATAATGATGGAAAGTTGTACAACAGAGACATCAAACCTGAGGCTCTATGGCACCACATGGCCCCCAAATCCTTGGATACAGCCCCCATCAATTTCCAAAAATATTGTTGAAACAAACAAAAAAGAACCATAAGCATTTAGTACATAACAGGACAGTAATTGTATTAATTATATTTCATTGTAATAGAATACAATGCAATGCAATGGTTAAACAGGTTCTCCAGTATGACCCTAAAAAGTTGAGGGTGACCTTCAGCCCATAAACTTGTAGACTTATTGTATATTTTAGAAAGAGCTGGCATAGTTATACTCCATTCTGTTTCAGGGGTGCAGCTATAGAGGTGGTCAACAGTATTAAGCATCTGGGGGTACAGATTACTGAAAATCTGAATTGGTCTCTCCACATGTCATCCTTAGTGAAGTGTGCAGTGCAAACCAGTGCCTGCATTTCGGATGAGGAGAACACATCTTTTTCCTTCTGTCCTGGCCACTTTTTACAAAGGCAGATAACAGATAACAGATAATCAGAGTTGGAAGGGATCTTATAGGTCATCTAGTTCAACCCCCCACCCAAGCAGGAGACCTGACATCATTTCTGACAAATGGCAGTCCAATCTCTTCTTGAAAGTCTCAAGTGATGACGCTCCCACAACTTCCGAGGGCAAGGTGTTCCATTGGTTGATTGTTTTCACTGTCAGAAAGTTTCTCCTTATTTCCAGGTTAAATCGCTCCTTGTTCAGTTTCCATCCATTATTCCTTGACTGGCCTTCAGGTGCCTTGAAAAATAGTTTGACCCCTTCCTCTCTGTGGCAGCCCCTCAAATATTGGAAGACTGCTATCATGTCTCCCCGGTTCTTCTCTTCACTAGACTAGCCTTGCCTATTTCTTGTAACTGTTCTTCATATGTTCATAGTCTCCAGTCACCTAATCATCCTCATTGCTCTTCTCTGCACTTTTTCTAGAGTCTCAACATCTTTTTTTTAATGTAGTGACCAAAACTGGTTGTAGTACTCTAGATGTAAAGTCTTACTAAGGCTTTATAGAGTGGTATTAGTACCTCACTTGATCTCAATTGTATCTCTCAGTTAATGCAATTTAGGATTAGGCACGATTGAGAGCTTGTCAGATTTTTAAAAAGAGACAGTGGGAGGTTTGTATTTTCAGATTTGCAAGATTCTATTAATGTAGCTTTACAATAAGGTAGAATCAGCTCATCTGGTCATATTTTCTGTCTGGTCTTCCTGGTAAGGCATCAGGTTTGAAATCATAAATCTATGAGTTCTACAGTAGCCTTACTTTAATCATAAAGCTAGCTGGGTGACCTTGGGCCAATTACTCTATCTCAGGCCTAGGAAGGAGGCAATGGCAAATTACCTCAGAAATTTTGCCAAGAAAACTGCAGGGACTGAACCTGGAGTCCCTTTCATTAACTTGAAAGTACCAAATGAAACAAAACAAAACAAAACAAAATCTAGGCTACTACAGTGCCTTTGGTCTAAAGTAGGAAATAGCAACATCTATTTAAAAGACCGATAGTACATTTAACATTGGCTGGGCTGTTCACAATTATTTGTAGACTAAATTTTGACTGAACAGAAATTCCTCCTAATATCAGTAGAGAATAATGTACTCTGATGCCATGACTGGATCCCATACTACTAACAAATTCCATCTCCTTTTAGTGGTTATTTTTGAGTTTTTAGTAGCCCTGTGGCTGATGCAAATTTCTATTCAGACTCTTTCCAGACTCAATTTATTTATAGAACTCTTCTGTCTCTTATGTTGACATTTAAAATAATGAATTACTCTACTGGTAAATTAGAAAAACAGCAGCTGTCCTCATTAAAAGTTAGGAGGGCAAAGGGAGCAAATGAAAAATCTCTCCTAAAACCATTAAGCAACAAGTTAAGCAGAAACTAGAAATGGAAACTTATACAATTGGAATAAATTTGAGCCTCTCATCTTAGTCTGACTTCAGCTTGGTATATTATAAATTGCAGTTTGCTCTGTTATCTGAACGCGCTAATCATTTTCTATTATTTATGTCACTTTTCTTCCTTCCTGCAGTCAAAGCACAGAGTGAGATATTGCGATTAGGATATCTTCAATACTGACACATATAGAAAGTATTTCTAGGAATGAAGTAAGATGGAAGAGATATATGTTATAATAAAATCCAAATGACCAGATTTACAAACCCATTTCAACATAGATAGAATTTATTTAAGTTTTGAATGCAAATATAAAGAAAAGTGAACATGTTTGTTCAATCTGAAGAAGGGATATATTATTTCCAGTGTTCCTACAAAAAAGAACCTAACCTTGCCCCATATGTGGATTTATTTAAATCATTTTTCTTATGAATGGAATTAGATGAAACCAAATGATTTGGTCATTCTTTCCATTTTTCTTTTTTAAAATACTGCTCTGTGCTTTTAAAGTTGTAGCGTCGTTTCGGCAGAATCTCATCTGCCATCATCAGGCTCGTGTATTGGTTCGTCTTTGTCATATGTGTCAGGCTTTCACAGCCATTTCTGTTTTAATTTTGATGCTAGCCTCGTGCTTTTTTAGAATGTTTTTTTTCATCCTGATTGGTTGGGAGTTTTGGTCTGTGTTTATTGGTCTTGGAGTTTTCTGTGTTCTGCTTGATTGGTGTTTCTAATATCTTCTGTCTGTTTTGTAGCATTTTTTTGTCTTGATTAGTGAAAGCCTGACACACACGATGAAGACGAACCAATACATGAGCCTGATGATGGCAGATGAGATTCTGCCGAAACGTTGCTACAACTTTAAAAATACAACTATAATGACATGGGAAAATACCTGAACAAAGCTGAATACCATACATATAAATACCCACGAAAACTTAAGAAAACACACACACACACACACACACATATATATATATGTTTTCTTAAGTTTTCGCAGGTACTTCAGCTTTGTTCGGGTATTTTGGGGAATATCAGACCTCTACGGGGAGGAAATAAACAGCCAGACCAAAACCTATAAGAAACTGGAAGTTAAAAGAGCAGGAATACTATGTGACCTCAAACTACAATGACGGGGGAAAATACCCGAACAAAGCTGAATACCATACACACACACACACACACACACACACACACACACACACACATATGGTATTCAGCTTTGTTTGGGTATTTTCCCATGTCATTGTAGTTGTGCTTTTAAAGTTGTAGCAACGTTTCGGCAGAATCTCATCTGCCATCATCAGGCTTCTGTATTGTGTTCGTCTGTGAGTCAGGCTTTCACAGTTGTTTCTGTTTTAAATTTGGTGCTAGCCTACGCTGTGTCAGAATGGTTTTTTCTTCATCCTGATTGGTTGGGAGTCTTGGTCTGTGTTTATTGGTCTTGGAGTTTGCTGTGTTCTGCTTGATTGGTGTTTCTAATATCTTCTGTCTGTTTTGTAGATTTTTTTGTCTTGATTGGCTGGCAACATTGTGTTTCCTGTATTGGAGGCTTTTAGTGCAGCTTGGCTCCGAGTAAATGGACGGCCATCATTTATTAGGAAGCTAGGTTTCATCTGGGTGCCTGGTTGGGGTGTGTTTAAGCTGGAGGTATCAGGGGGAGTCTGTTTGTGCCCAGGTGTTTTCCTGGCTTGTGGTGTGAAGACTTTTTTGGTTGAGAATGCAGGCTTCCAGATAATTGACAGTCTGGTGGAGTCATCACTTCTATTCATGCTTTCAGGTCTTTTTTCAATCAAGCAGAACACAGCAAACTCCAAAACCAATAAACACAGACCAAGACTCCCAACCAATCAGGAGGAAGAAAAAAACCATTCTGGCACAGCGTAGGCTAGCACCAAATTTAAAACAGAAATGGCTGTGAAAGTCTGACTCACAGACAAACACTATACAGAAGCCTGATGATGGCAGATGAGATTCTGCTGAAACATTGCTACAACTTTAAAAGCACAACTATAATGACATGGGAAAATACCCGAACAAAGCTGAATACCATACATATAAATACTCGTGAAAACTTAAGAAAACTTGCAAGCCCATCACACAACCCATTACCCAAGCTGTTAAAACACGAGAGGCTAATGGAAAAAAGATCACTACAAAACAAATGACCCAGGAGATTACAGCACAAGATCCAGTATATCTCCACAACAAAACTCACAAGGTCATCACACAGCCCATTATACCAACATCAACTCCATCAACCAATCAAGAGGCAACAGCGCAGCCAACCAGCCCAGCACACCAGCCCCCACCACCAGTATTTATAGAGAGACAGCAGCTCCGATCACACACTGTTTGCACTGGCATGAAGCTGAAAGCACCACCTGAGGATGGCGAGTGGGACCTCGCCGAAACATCACCAAGATACTCTTAATCTTACACGGGAAAATACCCGAACACACCTAGACCTACATATATATATATATTTGTTTTCTGAGGTTCTCGCGGGTATTTGTATGTAGATCTTTGGTTGTTCGGGTTTTCTCCCGCGTAAGATTCGAAGTATCTAGGCAACGTTTCGATGAAGTCTCATTCATCATCTTCAGGCTTCTGTCTCCGGCTCTGTGCTTCTCAGAGTGATGTGAGATTGCTTCGAATCTTACGCGGGAGAAAACCCGAACAACCAAAGATCTATCTCTATATATATATACATACATACTACTGTAATTATGATTGTCTCAAAATCCTGAGAAATATGAGTTCTGCCAAGTTGCCATGGAACAAGTAAATACATTATTTGTGAATTGGTGTCACTAGGAATCACTTTAGAATACAGAATAACAAAGTTGGAAGGAACCTTGGAGGTCTTCTGGTCCAATCTCTGCTCAAGCAGAGACACTATACCATCTGGACTAATGGCTGTCCAATCTCTTCTTAAAAATCTCCAAAGAAGATACACCCACAGCTTCTGGAGGCAAGCGGTTCCACAGATCAATTTTTCTGTCAGGAAATTTCTTGGTTTTGGGTTCCGTAATAACTTACCATTCATTATTTCTTGTCCTACTCTCAGCTACTTTGGAAGTTAGATTGACCTCCCTCTTCTCTTCTCTGTGTCAGTCCTCCAACATTAAAAGACTGTTATCATGTTACCCCTAGTCCTCCTTTTTTTGTTTATTGGGCACAAATAATTGTTTTGTTTATTGTACACTTAAGAGCATGTACTTAAGTTTAATGATAATTATTTTTAAACATAATCCTCAACAACTGAAAGTTGACTCAGCCTTCCTTCCTTCTGAGGTGGGTAAAATGAGGAACCAAATTGTTGGGGGCAATATGCTGATTCTGTGTAAACCACTATGAAGTGGTGCATAAGTCTACAATAAGTGCTATTGCTATTGTTAGTATACTCACCAAGGATCAGCTATGGATTTGTTAAATTGCTGGTGAAGTTAAAAGTATCATATTTACTAAAGATATACATCCTGTGTGGCACGCATAAAAATGGACAGAGCCTTTTTTTAACTTCACAGTGGACTCCCATATACTATATAGGCTTTGAATTTTATTTGGTAAACATATTTTGGAATTTTATGTCAGTTTGAACAAAGCACTCATTTTTTTGCTACTCATTAAAGCAGCTCGAAACAGCAGCTGCTTTAATGGCTCTTTTAATGGACTCCTTAAAGCAGCAATCCATTTTCTGGATGACTTGTATGGAATCCTGAAAAGAAGCTAGCATGTTAACAAATAGCAGGGAGATTCTGAGTTCATTGAAAAAATTAATATTTCTTTCAAATCATTTTGAAGTGGATACAATCCTAATATTTAGTATGTGAAATTATTTTAATTTAAATGAATGCATTAAGCTACAGACAATGTGAAATATTGTAGTCAATAAAGAGCATAAAACTTCTCTTCCAAAGACAAATGGAGTTACATCACATCAAATCAGTACAAAACCCATTCAAATCAATGAAACATGCTAGTCATGATTTTTTCAATGAAGCATGTATAATGTGTCCCTGTGTGTATGCATCCTTTTCCAAATCTTGCTCCGAGTTTACCCAAGAATGTTCTATACTAAAGGAAATGAACCAGTACTGGATTATTTCAGTACTTCTAATTATTAAACGCGTCTCTCTTAGGGTAAAGGTAAAAGTTCCCCTCGCACATATATGCTAGTCGTTTCCAGCTCTAGGGGGCAGTGCTCATCTCCAGTACAAAGCCGAAGAGCCAGTGCTGTCCAAAGATGTCTCCATGGTCATGTAGCCGGCATGACTAAATGCCGAAGATGCACGGAACACTGTTACCTTCTCACCAAAGTGGTCCCTATTTTTCTACGTGCATTTTTACATGCCTTTGAACGGCTGGGTTGGCAGAAACTGGAACAAGTAATGGGAGTTCATTCCATTACATGGTGCTAGGGATTCAAACCGCCAAATGGCCAGCCTTTCTGATTGACAAGCTCAGTGTCTTAGCCATTAAGCCACCATATCCCATGATTAGCATTTTCCAGCTCAGCATTTTCATTGCAGGTATTTTAATATGTAGAAATATCCCAAATTGGATGAGGAAAGGATCATTTATTTCTTACTGTGGCCTACAGGATGCTTTTAAACAAAATTGCTCTTCTCTCACCATTGTTCAATCGCTAACTGTCTGACTGTCCGTGACCCTCATAGACCAAAGACCATCTGACCCCCATATCCTCCACTGTCTCCTGGTGTTTGTCTAAAGTCAAATTCATTGCATCACTGACACTCTTCCATCATTGCTCCCTGCAACTGGAATTGGAAGGCATACTGTCCTATCCTTGAACTAGTATTGAATCTGTCACACTAATAGTGTTGAGTAGACTTGTCGTCCATACGTTCATCAATCCCTTTTAAAGCCATCCAAGACAGTGGCTTTCATTGGTGGCATTAAAATGCATTAATGAATTTAACAGGTGAGCAATTGGTTTCAACTGATCATCAACTAATCCCATAGGTTGTCAATCCCAGGGCACCTACTAATGTCATGGTGATATCAGAATGAACTATAATAGGATATACTAATAGTCTTTAGCTGACCTAATTCATATGCTCAGGAACACATTCAGCTGTGCAAATACATGCAACGGAGTGGTGTTTAAAAAGGGGGTTCAGCACTGGCATTGGATTGGAAATAAATTCCAGTGTTCTTTATCACAATGGTATAATACATGTACGATGGTAACATCTGGATTTTGTTTCCTATCTGGAAGGACCAGATGTGCATTTCTTCCCATATCATATTTTAATTGGCCATTAACCTCTTAGTGTGAAACTAGTCATATTCTCAACAGAGATACTAAATGAATAAATACTTCTAAAGTAGCATTGCATTTTGTTTCATTACTGACCTGAAAGTATAAATGTTTTACTATGCTGTCTATGTGCACGAGCACATGGCAATTAGTTGCAGTTCATTACATTTTAAAATGCATTAGGTATCGGCTATTGAAAGAACTAATTTGGAAGTGAGTTGGCAGCATTTCATCTTAACTAAGATATTCAGACTATCAACTTGATTCCACCATAACTGATGGAAATGTGTGCATTTTTAATGATCTACTTATTAGATGTTTTTCTTCTGGGGGTGGAAGGTAGTATACATAGTACTCCCTTTTCCCATTTTATCTTCACAAACTCAATCCTGTGAAGATAAAAGACAGCTAACTGGCCCAGAGTGACTAAGTAAGTTGCTTAGGATAGAATTACAACTGAGTCTCCACATCTGAATCATTTTCTACACTAATACATGAGTAATTTAAAATCTTTGTGTGTGTGTGTGTAACTACAAACAGGAAGGATATTATAAATTTCTAAATATGAATGAAGGCTGATATGGAAAGACGTCAGTAACCATTTCATGCAGTGCATATAGCATAGATATAAGAAGACCACTTAAGACCTGAGTTCCAGTTCAAGACCTGATCCTGAGCTCCAGAAAGTGCTCAATCTGATCTACTTAGGAAATCCAATCAGAACCCAGCATAAAGCTATAAATTCAGAACAAGGTGTACTACATTTCTAATTTGTTGCTGTAGAGCCAAATATAATTACGTTTTCAATTATGATTGCAGTATGGAACACTCATGCTAAATTTCATGCAAAAACTAGAAAGGGATTTGTGCAATGGAAGAATTCATGTGGATGTAGTGGAGCTGATTGTTCAAAACTAAGGGAAAATGTTAACATATACACACATTGGTGTTTCCCATTAATTCACATCCACAGATCATAATCAGATACTTAGGATAAGAGATTGGACAAGGAAGAGGTTGTCCAGTACATATTATTAAGTACATTTCTCCACTCCAAAGATCTGCGGTCCAAGAATGGAATGGAGTGGAAGCGCAGGTTCAAGTCTCTTGGCTCCATCTTGGTTAAATAAAAACCTTTCAAAACAGCCAAATCAAATGCTGAATGATGAATTCAGCTGAACCAAATACATATCCCCTAGCCCACATCCTACAGTGGGTGTAAAATATTAACTGCTGTGATACATGTGTCATTTGGCCATTAACTCATGCCACTACAGTTACTTTTCTTTCTTTTACTATATAATTTGTCTTCATTTTGAGTTCTTCATGAAGATCTGAAGGAGGGAGATTCCCTGAAGAAATGTGTAGGTAATATGCGTCTTTAAGCATTCAGTGTATACAAATACTGGAAACCTTCAATATTTTGAAGACTAGTGTTCTTTAGGTTTTCTTTGATACTTATTGGAGAATTAGGTGCCTGATCAAATCAGAAGTTACTGTGATTACAGCAGATGTCTATAGAAACTTGCTGCTCAATCAGAGTATCACAAGTGGAGCATTAATCTCAAAGAAAAAATATACCTCTTGCTAAGAGAATTGTATCAGCATATAACCCATGAATATAGTACATAAAACACACACATTATATGATTGTGTCTTCAATATTCTGGCCATATTTTCTGTATATTCTAATCCATGCAATGGTGCCTGAAGTATTTTAAATCAGAGATAACTTTTACTGATTTCATTGTGCTTGGAAATGCATAATTAGGACTTGATTATTTTAGTATAACTTTTAATAGATGGACTGAGGGAATCCGATAGAAAAAGATAATTCATTCTTGTCCATAATGGCCCTATTTGTTTCTTAAACTGGCTAAGAAGTCTTGCATAATTTTATAATAATATATAATTTATAATAATAATATTGCATAATATTTGATCATTAACTGCTGTGAACTATGTCAGTCTAAGTTGGAGACATTGTTATCCCACATCTATATATTTCAGGAAATCTGCAGGGTGAAACATCCTTGCCAAAGGTCAGCTACAAGTCAAAAGCTATAAACTCTTCCCCTGAGAACCTTTCTTGAAAATGCAGATTGTCATCCCTTTTACCTGAGGATGGAAAGAAACTTGCTCAAGCAACCAAGCAATAATAATCTGGGTGATTTTGCTCATTTCCAAGATCTGACTCTACATGCATTTTGGTGGTGCTCCTAACAGCTTTATGGGCCATCTCAAGCTGTGTAAACAGTAATGCAATAATAGAAAATAGCAATGCATTTATCACAGCTGATGACGAATGGCCTATGAGCCAAGCAATATGCTCTCCTAAACAACATAATACTTCTTGCCAACAGCAATATTAATCACCTTGGGAACTGACGGGATCTGATGGAGCAGACTGTTATTAATATTATCTCCCCTGGAAGCATTAGCAATGGTAATAGTGATTTTAATAATGCTGAGATAAAATAAGCTGGGCTGGACTCTCTCATTGTAAAGGGAGGATTATGAAAGATGTAATATATAAATTGCATGACTAATTCATGCAAGAGATGTCTTCAAGCACTGTGGAGTGGTAGGAGATACAGATTTTATTTTGAAGATCATTGTTGTTGTCATCAATTGTCAAAATCTGGTTAAATGCATAATTGTCACAATTCCATCCAACAACTGGATGTATTTGAGTGAATTATATATACAAATTTCACCTTAGGCAATTTTCTATTATTTTATTATTCTATTTTTCTGGTCCCCATGAATCCACTGAAAGCAAATCATATCAAAAGAAGATGAATATTAACAATGTCTTGAAAGCTACTTGCTTTCCCTGGAGACCAAATAAAGAAGGCTAAGAAGGTTAACCCAGAGCATGAAAAAAAATGGTCATTATAACATCAATGTAATTATGATGATCATCACTTTATATATTTAGTAACATAGATTTTAATATTGGAGGTGAGGTTATAAGAATATGTGCTGGTGCAAAAATATATTAACCTATATTTCTTAAATAGGAATTATCACAGTGGAAGAAATAAGAATGAGTTCTCTAGACATTTCAAAGATCTTGAGACATGGAGAGCATTAGTATAATTTTCACTTGCAATGTAAACTTTCTGGAGCTTTCCATTCAAAATTATAAATTGTATAACAATAAGATGTTCACCAAGTAGCTCAATCAATAGATAACAATGACATGGTCTGTTGGCCAAATTAGAAAGCTTTCTGGCTGATGAACTTTCTGGCTTTGAATAAATAATTTGATCAATTATCTGAATGATGAAAAGGGGGGTAGTATTATGCATTTTCATATCTGGCTGTAAATAACTATCCAATTCTTCTATGATTTATAAAAATTCAGTTTTGAAAATAGCCCTAAAATGCATTGTTTATATCAAGATTTATACGAACAGACCCAGATATAAACTCACACAAATACTTCCAGATTATAGGTTTTTATCAGGAAGCTCATTTAAAAATCTGATTTAAACACCTTCTTTTAAATATGTGATTGGGCCATGAATGGATTTGTGGATATGATCATTGATTTAGGTCTACATTTTAATTGTTTTGCTATATGGATTGATCATCATTGACAATCTAATGGACAGTTTGGAAAGTTCAAATCCATTTATGACTTTATGAGTTTAGATATTAAGTTTGCATTGCAAAATTGCTTCAGCAGCTAGTGAGCTTTGCAATCTCCTGGGGGAAAAAAGAAAAGACTCTGTCATGGCTGAAATATAAGCAACTTTCTAAATATTGTATTTCTGCATAACTTTTGCTAAAATTGGTCCTTATGTTTACTGGTCAACTCTTCTAGAATGGCGTGCATAATCATGGTTGGTTAGCAGATGGGTATGATTATCCTACCTATTAACGGTCATTACTTTCAAACAAGAGAGAAATATGGGTCTTCAGAATAGAAATGGGTGATGTGGCTATTAACAGCTCAGGGATCCCCACTGCAAACTAAGAAGTGCTTGGTAAATTATATGTATTGCCACATTCTCTTGCTGTAGCTATCTCCCTTCATCTTCTGCTTGCTTCATCTAGCATGGAAATGCTCCCCACACAGGCCACATGAATAATATGGTGGGCATGCTTTGACCACTAGTGCCACCTAACCCTGAATAGACTCCACATTTCATTAGCAAATATAGATCTAAGCTGTGTCAGATTCAAATTTGCATTGAACCACACAGTCATATGAATTTTTTTTTTTTTTATATAAATTTTTATTATTTTTTTAACATAAAAAACACAACAACAAAACATAAAAGTATCAGCTCCCCCATATTTTTGTACACACCGTAAGTCGGTTGGTCCATCGGTTTTGTGCATTCACCTCATAGTCACAATTACAGTTACTTTATATAATACTCTTATCAATACAAATTTATAAATCCTAGTATCTCTATTAAAGAAAAAAAAAAAAATTGACTAAACTTTTATTCGGTCATGCCTTTATGAGATAACTATATTTTAAATATTTTATTCTAAAACAAATCTTATAATCATACCAATTCTATCCCAAATATAAAAAAGAAAGAAACAAAGAAAACTATTATATAAATATAGTATCAAAAACCAATAAAAGGAAAGGGAAAATAAAGTCATTATTATTCCTTATTATCTAACTTTTATATTTTAATATTTCATCATTCAACCATTGATAGAAAAGATCCCAAACTAAATAAAATTGTTTATCTTCTTGCTCTCTAATTTCAAAAGTCAATCTACTCATCTCAGCACATTCCAAAATTTTCTTTACAACTTCTTCTTGCAATGGAATTTTCTCATTTTTCCAATTTTTTGCAAATACAATCCTAGCAGCAGTCAATACATTTACAATCAAATATTTCAACTCTTTACTATAAGTATCTGGTAGTATTCCCAATAGAAAAAACTCCGGTTTCAAGTCTATATGCTTCTTTGTCATTTTTTCCAGCCACATGTGGATTTTAGTCCAATATTTTCTAGCATCCTCACAAGTCCACCACATGTGATAGTATGAACCAGGTTTCTGATGACATTTCCAGCATTTTTCGGATTTGTTCTTAAACATTCTTGCTATCCTTGTCGGGGGAAAATGCCACCTGTAAAACATCTTATACAAGTTTTCTTTATAGGCTGTAGACATTGTCATTTTATAATTTTGCGACCATAATTTCTGCCATTTCTCTAAATCAATCCCATATCCAAAATTCCTCCCCCACGCAATCATAGTTTCTTTAACTTGTTCTTCCTCAAGCTTAATTTGCAATAAATAACCATACAATTTTTTAATCACCTTTTCATCAGTACCCATCAAAATCTTATCCAAATCAGTTTGCTTATCATAAAATCCCTCTGCTTTGGAATCCTCATAGTACTTTGAATATATTTGCAAATATGAAAACCAATTCATCCGTATACCTTGTTCTTCCAATTTTTGCATCGATTTAAGTTCACCCTTTTCATCTAATAATTCCCCATAGTTAACTGTTTGTTCCTTTTTATAGATTATAGGATAAGAAAACGCTTCTATCGTCGATAACCAAACTGGAATTTTCAAATAACACTGTTTTTTTATCTTCTCCCAATTCAACCACAGAGACTCCCGTATATAATGCCTTCTAAAATACCCCTGTGTTTTAGTTCCCTTGTACCATAAAAAAGCATGCCAGCCCAACAACAAATCATGACCTTCTAATGTCAACAATCTGGTTTTCCTTAATGTTATCCATTCTTTAACCCACGTCAAGTTTGCAGCTTGGTAGTACAACTCCCAATTAGGCAGTCCAAACCCTCCTCTAAATCTAGCATCCTGTAAAAGCTTTAACTTTATTCTTGCTTTCTTACCTTGCCATATATACTTCAAAACAATTTTATTTAAATCCTCAAAATATTCTTTTCCAAGCCTAATTGGTATTGTTTGAAACAAAAATAAGACTCTGGGTAAAATGTTCATCTTAATTGTTGAAATCCTTCCTATTAATGACAATTGTAAATTCTCCCATTTTTTCAAGTCTTGAGCTATCTGTTGTTTAAGTTTAATATAATTATTCTCCTTCAATGTACTACATCTTGATGTCAAATATATCCCCAGATACTTAACCTTGTTTGTAACTTGAATTTTTAACAGTTCTGCCAACTCTTCCCTTTGTTTCAGCAACATATTCTTTGACAAAATCTTTGTTTTATCTCTATTTATTTTCAAACCAGCCACCTCCCCATAGACCTCTATCTTTTCCAACAGTTTCGAGGCTGTTTCTATAGGGTCTTCCAAGATAAAGACTAGGTCATCTGCAAAGGCTTGTAGTTTAAATTCTTCCTTTTTAATTTTCATTCCTTTTATAGTTTTATCTTCTCTGATATTTCTATTCAACACTTCCAAAGTCAATACAAATATCAAGGGAGAAAGAGGACAACCTTGTCTTGTGCCTTTTCTTATATTAATAGGATCTGTAAATTCTCCCTCCATCATTACCTTAGCTGTTTGTTCATTATAAATTGCTTCTATTGCCTGAATAAATCTTCTAGCAAAGCCCATCTGTTCCATTAAAAGTAACATAAATCTCCAATTCACGTTATCAAATGCCTTTTGAGCATCTAAAAATATCAAAGCCATTTGCTTTTCAGGATGTGCCTCATAGTATTCCAGGGTGTCCAGAATTACTCTCATATTGTCTCTGATTTGTCGCTTTGGCAAAAACCCATTTTGGTCTGGGTGGATAAAGTTATTCAAGTACTTTTTAAGTCTTTCTGCTAATATTGAAGCAAAAATTTTATAATCTGCATTTAGTAAAGAAATCGGTCTATAATTCTTGATTTGCAGTAGGTCCGCCTCCTCTTTTGGAATAAGTGTAATGTAAGCCTCTGACCATGTTTTAGGTATCATCTTTTTTAACATAACTTCATTCATAACTTCTAACAATGGAATACACAGTGATTCTTGAAAGATTTTATAAAATTCTACAGGAAACCCGTCTGGACCTGGTGCCTTTCCATTATTTTGTTTCTTAAGTGCTTGACTTAACTCCATCATTGTTATATTACTTTCTAGCATTTCTTCAATCTCTTTAGGTATCTTAGGTAGATTTGCATTCTGTAGGTATTGTTTAACTTTCTCCTCGTCAATGTCTTCTTTCTTATACAAATGCTTATAAAAATCATAAATAATCTCTTTTTTTTCTTTGCTGCCATAACAAATTTTACCTTGGTCGTCTATTAACTGCGGTATTTTCCTCGACTCTTTCTCCTTTCTCAATTTGTATGCTAGCCATCTACCTGGCTTATTTGCATCCTCAAAATAATTCTGTTTAGCATTCCTAATTTTCTGTGCCAGTTCTTCTTTCTCTATTAAATCCATTTTATGTTTAGTTATATCCAGTTTCATTTTAACATCTTTTCTGTGTGGCATTTT